CCATTGGTGCAGCTTGCAAACTTGGGAGGGCAGCAGTGGTGCCTAAGCCTCCAGGTATCACTGACCTGGCCTCTGTTTCTGTATACAGGGCATCAGGCCAACCATGAAATAATGATCATACTATTTGAGGGTGGGATTTGTGCAGGATTTCTCTTTTGATCCTCCAAAAGGCCAACCTCACCCACTGCTCACTTCAACATATGTAGTAAGACATTGCTGAAGACATAAATAGCAATCCTTTGCTTTTCAGGAAGCAGTAGACTCAGGCTTCTATTTCAGAGTATGGTGGGACCAAGGAATCCAGAAAATTTTAGGGCGGCATGTGAATCACTTCCCAATGGGATTGTGTCCAAGGGTTAAGTGAACAAAAAGGGAACGTGACCCAGGAACACATCAAGGGGTTTACCAGTGATCTCTTTAATGGACAAAGAGGAGGTTTTTATTTGTTGTTGTGTAGGTTTTTTTGTTTTTTTTTTTAAGTACTTTCTCTCAAACTTACAAAGTTAACATTCATTAGGTTCGTCATGAAGGCCTCATGGGTCAACCTGGCTAACTAAATGTTGAGTGCCCTTCCTCTGAGGCATATTAGGTGAAGCCACGGTCAGAGATGGGGGTTTCTGACAGCCAGCCCACACCATGCTTTCTTTGGTTGAGTTGTGGTGGGGTGTTTGTCCAGTTCTGGAAATCAGAAAGGGCGTGGGGCAAGATCCACTTGATATCCCAACTGGCTGAAGGAGAAAGAGAGGTCCCAACTGTGGCCATGTTCTCCTAGTGGAATCCCAAGATTCCTCCAATTACATAATTTTCAGAGTACTACCTATATTACCCTCTGGACCACCACCCTACGAACCTGGATCAAGGCCACCCCTGCAGGAGCCCCCTATCCTTATTCATCACTGTCTACAGTTATAGTCTTTAACTCTGATGTTGATCTGTATATAAAAAGTCATGATCTTTTTTTTTTTTTGACCGGCCGTGCGGCATGTGGGATATTAGTTCCCCGACCAGGGATCAAACCCGTGCCCTCTGCAGTGAAAGCCCAGAGTCTTAACCACTGGACAGCCAGGGAAGTTCCAAAAAGTAATGATCTTCTAATAGGAGGAACCGGAGGAATATTTAAAGAAATACATCCCTCATGAATAAACTGAAACCTTGCCTTGGATAGCTCATGTTAGTTTGTGTCAGCAATGCAACAGTGAAATTTTATGGTTATGTTGAGTCTCTGGGAAAGATGGAACCCTAAGGTGTCCCTAGGATAAATTTGTACATTGGAATCCCTCCAGAGTAGGACTGGGATATTGTTTGACCTTGAGGGAGTAGCCCACAGCTCAACAGTAAACACCACTGCCAGCAGGGTCCTCACCAGTCTGTTGTTACTTTAGTGTACCCCTCTGTACACATTTCTGGTTGCGGGCATTGGGTTCTTACTCAGAAATGCTCAAAATATTTTCAAATGATACAAATAACTATAGATATCCTGCATTTTGTAGATTATCTGTTTTTAAAAAAAGAGGATGATTTTACTCTACATAACATATCTTTTCTTTAGACAGAAATAATAATAGAGTTAATAATAATACTAATATATTAGCTTGGTCTTCCTATTCTTTTGGTAACACTGAAATTTGTTTTTCTGATTCTTTTTATAAAGGACATTTCTAACCATCGTTTAGTCTCTAGAATAGATCTACCTATTATACGGGAGTACCTTGAGCAAAATTATTGCCTTACGTACTCGAACCAGTTATGTCCCTTATAATGAATAAACTTATGAATTCACACAGTTTTTAAGTTAAAATCTTATAAATCTGGTTAATAGCAGTTTTCATTCAGCCACTATTTATTGAGTATCTGCCATGTGGCAGGCACTGGGCTAGCAGCAAGGGGATACAGTAGTAAAAAAGGCAGACAAGGTCTTTTAATTACAGTCTGACGATTATCATGGGCCTGATTAACCCTGACTCAACCGATACAATCTAATTCCTGAGCCTGTTAAACTGTAGGGTACGTCATGGGTCGAACAGTCACTCAGTAAAGTCTTATCTGAAATAGCCAGGCAGTTCTGCCTTTAATTATAAACATTGGAGCTGAGAAAAGAGAAGGGGAAGGAGGGAGGTGGGGGAGAAAGGAAAGACAGAAGAATTATCAGCTGAGGTACTAATGTCACTAAAGCACTGGAAAAGTGGCTGAGGTTGAAGGTAGAACCACAGCCCCGAAGTCAGTCACAGTTATTACCCATTTCCCTCCAATTTCCCCAATGCCAAAATAATCCCTGAAAGCAAATGAGGAAGGCAAACTGCATAAAAAGTTCTCTATAATGGATTTACAGAGCCAGTCTGGGAAAGATGTCGAGTAACTTCTTCATTTAAAAAGTCTTACAATTATTTTATGACTCGTATAGGGTAATACATTTTGATAGGGAAGAAATTAAACTATACCAGCCAGAATCTGGGAGGAAGAAAGGGTTACGACGTAGCTCTGTGGTAAATACCTTTTGGTGCCTCACTCGGTAATGATATAGATTAAAGCAGACGCTTGAGTTCTAAAGCTTTATAGTCTTTCTAGCTGTACATGTTAAAAATGTTGAACTATGCAAAGCCATTCAGTTCACATTTGAGCCTCATTGCCGAGACTCAGATGGGTACAGTTTAAACCTGTGATGTGGACACAGGAAATTTCTACCTATATCCACAGAGCAGAATGTCTTACCCCACCATAGCAGGGAAACATGAGGGAAAAACAATTTGTACAAATTCATGCTCTGGACGGTCCCCTGGGACAGTGAGGACTAGAACATGAGCTCAGGACCTCGGCCACGGAGAACTCCCAACACACACACACAAGCCACCGAGAACTCCCAACACACACACACAAGCCACCGAGAGCTCCCAACACACACACACAAGCCACCGAGAGCTCCCAACACACACACACAAGCCACCGAGAGCTCCCAACACATACACACAAGTGGCTCATTAGTGGCAGGCTTCAGTGATCTGGGTCTAGCTTCTCATTTTGCCAGCCCCAGGGGGAAGATGATCTCACACACAATCAAAGGTCACTGGAATGAACATGTTGTTATTTATTCCCCTGTCTGCTCAAGATCAGCTTTAAACTGACCTGAAATAATACAACAGCAGTGATAATTTCTGGTTCTTGGAGTACACAGTAATCCATAAAATTTTTAAAAAATGAAGTGTCTCTTGGAAGCCCTTACTGCTGCCATTAACATAAATATCCATAATGTTTGCCCTCCTCTGAAAGGTGTTCTCAGGTGGGGTGTGGGTGTGCCCGATTACATGCTTTGCTCTGAGCTGGCCCATTCAGTGAGGGATCATGAGATGCTAGTCTGGGTGGACTGCTGGAGGAAGTTCCCAGCAAGTGGTTTACCTGTAAAGCACATCTCTGGGGTGCAGAGGGATGAATAAAAGGAGGGGAATGCTGGTGCCAGAAACTACAGGTCAGGTGATACCCTGATCTGCAGGAAGGGTGTGGTCACAGCAAGGGGATGAGGCTGTCAGGGAAAGGAGGGGAGAAGGGAACAGGAAGAACAGATATTTTCTTTCCCTCCCTCCAACACAATCTCACTCATCCTCTTGTTTGTGGCAGGCATTACCAGCACTTGCTTCTCTACTTCTTCTAAGCAAACTGGAGGATTATACTTCCCTGCCTCCATTGAAGTTAAGTGTGGTCATGTGCCTTGCTTTAGCCAATGAAATGGAGTGGAAGTGATGTGTGTCACTTCCTGGCAGAAGCATTTAATGGCTGGGCTTGACTTTCCATCCTGGTTTTCTCCTGCTTTGCCCATGTGAATGTACCTATTGATACAAAAGTGCCATAAGATCAAAGTAATAAATTATGTGTGAATGAGGAAAACACAAAACCAAATAAAGCACAGACAAAAATAAAATTTTGTTACATTAAAGTCATTGAGATATTTGTCAGCCTACCCTGACATCATGCTCTGTCTTCTTTCCTTCTTCCTGACAGTCTCCTTTCCTCTTCTCTTGCCTCCTCCCCTCCTTACCCATCTCTTCCTTCCTTTCCTCTCCCTTTTACCCTATGACTCCATTGCTTTCCTACCTGGAAATAATAGTAAATATAATGTTCTATATTCCTATTCTTAATCTGAAACATGGATACATTTGTTTTTTGAAATAAGAAATGAGTACATTTTTTGAATTACACATTTCACATTTCTTTCTTTAAAGAGAAGCCCTGAGGTAAATTAAAAATCAGCTTTAGTTTGTGTGAAAAATGTATGCTTTGAAAACCTTACTATATGATATAAACATATAGTCTTATCATTGTGGATAAGCCCTCAATTGATTTTCCTGTGTGGGTTAGTGGCTGTCAGGGAAAATAAAAACAAACATAAACTTTCCCTAAACACCTTGCAGCTCAGAAAACCCAGAGCTCCCTCTGGAGTGGGCTTTGAACAGGAAATCACTTACAGCATGATCAGTCACTTAGTTTTCATTGGTAACTTTGTTAAGAAGGCTACTGGAGCTGGAACGTCCAGAAGACTGTTCAAGACTAAAGGACATCTAAAGTTAGCAAAAGAACTACTCATTTTCATGCACAGTCATTCATGACATTGTATTTAACCCTGAGGTCACTCCCACCACCCTGAAAATTGCTTCAAGCAATTAAAGTCAGCCTAATCATGAAGCAGCAGAGAATGTGAGTGCAGGAACATGTAACTGTAGCCTGGCTAGTCATGCATATTTAAATAAACACAACAGATGTGTACTTTGAAAACAAATTCAACACGCTCTGGTTTCAAATAAGAACATGCTCTACTAGGTAAACATGACGTGGCCTTTTAGGCCACTTTACAACACCACGGAGAGAACTGCTAAGGGTTTTACACATAACCAATTCCGCAGAGATGATCTTGGTACAGGGAGGAGAGGGGAAAGTATGTAACAGTTATATGAGGAAAAGGAGAACATGCAAAAGAAGCAAGAGCCAGGTGGGCAATTCTGAAGTTCACTTACTGCCTGCTTTTGCTCTTCCTCCTAGAGGTGGTGAAGACGAAAAAAGGTAGAGGGGAAAAAGGAGAGAAATTAATGCCCATCACCACAAACAACTGGAAAAAAATGACAGAAAAGGGCAAACCAGGCCAGGCCCATGGGTTCAGAGATCCAAGGGCCTGACCACCGTCAGAGCACCATCAGTTGGACAGAGCAAATGGCAAGCCTCCGCCCCATCCAGTTCTTTAAATGCTAACTTCTAGAGTTAGAAGGAAAGAACCTTATAGACCCTCTAGTCCAACTTCCCCTTTTATACATGAAAAAGCCCTAGAGAGCCTGACTTGCCCAAGGTTGTATCACTATTTAGGGTAAACTGAAAGAAGCAGCTCAACCATGAATCAAAAGCTCCATGATCACTCTGTTTCACGATTCACAATATCCACATGTGTTAGGTACATTTCTCTAAGTCAGTGGTTCTCAAAGTGCAGAACATAGATAGACCAGTAGCAGCAGCATCTGGAAACTTGTCAGAGATGCATGCTTTGCCCCGTCTCCCCCTAGACCAATGGAATCAAAACTCTTGGGGTGGGGGCAGCGCTGTTTCATGAAACTTTCAGTGGATTCTGAATCCTGCTAGTTTGAGAACCATTGCTCTTAACAACTTCCTAGAAACTGGAAATTCCATCTGACTACAGATTCTCTTATTTAGTCCCCTGTCTTCCACTTTTGGAGCTTTTGGCTGCTGTGTGGTTCTTTTCAAGGATGCACATACATCCCCTTCCCCCTATAAATTGGAACTGTTTCAAGGCCCTAAGAGGCTTTTCAAAAAGAATTCTTGACCTTGGTGTCTCATTAGTTGAACAAAGGTTCGTTTAATGCTCCCTATGCGTGAAGCACTGGAAACATGAAGGTAAGATATGGTCTCTGTGTTTCAGAGCCTTACAGTGACGGTGCTCAGAGCAGGCCCTTGCTAACCCTCAGCTCTCAGAATGCACCTCTAGACACTGAAGAAGGAACCACGATGAAGATGAGATAAACACTTCCGAATTCCTCTCTCCTCAGTCTTGTGCTTCTCAGTTACTCTGTCTTTTAATGGGTCTCTTTGTTTCCTTTTTCTGTGCCTCATCATGGGTAACTGTGGTCAGGACGCCTCTGCTCTTTGCCCCAAATACACAGATCTAAAATCTGTTGCAATGGTTCTATTTAAATTGGATCCATCCGTGCAGACTGCCTTTACTAAACATGTGTGTAGGAAGTCTTGGGAATGGATGAGTGCTTCTCAGTCTGCAGAGATGGGTGCAATGGAGAGAATGATTTCAGTAAAGCCAAGGAATTACGAAAGGGAGAGGGAAAGTAAGAATTTGGAGAAAGTCATTTTATTCCCGCAAGGGAGAGACATGCACTAGAAATTAAATGAGCACCAAGAAATCTCTTGAGGAGACTCCCAACTCAGCACCAGAAGATGTTCTTCATTATCAAAACCAGCTGCTAGATGCTTGGCCAAACCTAATATCACAGGCACCCAGGCAAAGAGGGCCCTGCGCGTTCGCTGAGTTAGCCTGAAGGAGTTAGCATCTTTTAGCTTTTGCGTCTGGCATGCATGGCTCCAGTTAGAAGGGGTTAGTGTTTTACAGTTGGGAAGCGATCTCCCTGCCTAGTCAGGCTTCCCTGTGAGGCAGAACACTTTTCTTCCATTCACTAGGCAAGGAAACCAGCCGTAGAAGAGTTATTAAACAATTAAAAATGTGTTTTTATTGCTGGCACTAAATGTTGAAATGGAAATTGGTAGGGGAGAGATGGGGCAATCCTGACAAGCTGAAATTGCATCTGAGGTCAAAAGACCAGTATGTAATTTCTTAGAACTGTTTCTAAAACACCTCCCTATTTTCACTGTTTTCTCCAGGTTTGGTATTGGAGACAATATTACCTTGGTTCAATAGAATAGAAAAATTCAGTGCTCGCTTCGGCAGCACATATACTAAAATTGGAACGATACAGAGAAGATTAGCATGGCCCCTGAGCAAGGATGATATGCAAATTCATGAAGCATTCCATATTTTTTTTTTAAAGCAATTATACTCCAATAAAGATGTTTAAAAAAAAAAAAAGAAAAATTCAGAAGGCAATGTTTCATGTTTGTACATTTGGTGACTTTACTGTATATAGTTTATCCATTGATATAAAATCATCATAATTTGCAGTAGACACATGTCAGGTTAGGATGGAGAGAGTGGACAGGTCAGTGTTTTCAGGACGTACAGGCCCCCCACGTGCACTGGGATTGGGAGAGGGTGGACTTTGGCAAAGTGTTACTTAGGATGGTGTTGTATAGTCCAAACTCACAAAAGTTAATCAGATATAGCTTTGAAGGCTTTGTCAACACAGTAAACAGGTCAGATATAAGGTCTTAGAACCTTTTTGTTATCAATTAGTCAGTTGGGGTCAGTAAACATTGACTGGTGACAAGGTATAGGAGCCAACTTGATTTAAAGGGGGTAATAGTGCCTTAATTATAAAGTGCAAATCTAGGATTGCTCAAGTCACCTAAAAACATGGGAGACCTGTCACATTGGGGATATCTGGCTAGATGACCAAAGTAATGCCATAGCTACTGTAGTCAACTATATAAAAAAATTTATATTCAAAACCTCGTTTGCATATGAGGTTAAAATTTAAAACTACAGAATTCATCTGGTAAATGCGTTTCAAAAGCAATATTGTAAAAATGGAAAATGAGGCAGAAAAATACTGGGACGTAATTTAGAAACTAAAACACCATCACACAACTATTTCTAGATTAAATAAGAAGTCTGAGGTAGAGGTTATCCATATATACTCATTAATCAGGGGAAAAAATGTAAAGAAAAGATACATTCTGAAACATGGGTACTTGAGTGTCAGTCTACGTTATGTCATTAGGAAAAAAACAACAACAATAAGAAGGTCTCTGATACTCCTTGGTGACAGGGATTGAGTCTTAGTCACCATTATACACCACATACCCTAAACATGACTCTTAATCAATGGATAAAAAGACAACATTCCTGGTTTATGTTTGTAATTCTTCTTCCCTTTCTGAATGAACTCAGCCTGGCAGGTGGGTAAATAATAAGGCTTTTAAGAACTTGGTAGGATATCCTACAAAACAGAGCAGTGGGGTCCTGGTTATTTTACAGAAATTTTAACTGTAAGACAACAGCTGGAAATACAAAGAAACTCAGGGCTTGGGAATACAGTTCGAGACATCAGCTCATTCTGCTTAGGCCTTGAATGCAAGTGTCAGAGGTACATGACAAGGTCTTAGGAATGCACATGGGACCTGAGCCAGGAACTCTAAGGAACACTGAGGGCAACCAGCTGACGGGAAAGCTTACTGTGATACTTAGGGGAAATGTATTCTGACTTCCCTCCAGTTTGCATAAACCTTTTTGACTTTTACAAAAAGGGTACCTTCCCATCTATGTTTGGGTAATATTTGAGAACATTTTTCTGAAAGGCAGGTGAATACCCTATGACCTTCTGTCCTGTGGGTGGACTAACCCCACAACGGCAGGGCTTTCAAAGCCCCACATGGCTCCAGATGTTACACTGGCCAAATGTATTTAAGTACCTCTCTGCTCTCTTGAGTGGCTGATTGGGTTGCTTAGCTGGATACTTGACAACTATTTGAAGGATTTGGGCCAAATTTTACGCATAAGGTTTTCTTTAAACAAGACCCATTTAGAAAAAATATTTCTCAGGAGAAATCCTGCTAACAGGGTTAATGAAGAAACATGTCCCAAAATACCCCAAATACCCAGGACCAAAGCTAGAAAAAACTCAGCTCAAGACTAAAAGAAGTGATTGTCTTGAGCAAGCCAAAAGTCAGTTTAAAACACAAACACTCCATTTACCCAAGCTGCTAAATACCCACTAGCTTTATTATTAAAGGACTGGTTTAGAATGGAGAAGTTGAAGAAAACTCTTCAAGCTGACATGTTCCTGGGCTACCCCTCCTAGCCTAGACCCTTGTCATTTCGGGTCTGGATGATTTCAGTAGCTTCCTATTATCCTTTAGTTTCTCCTCTTCCCAACCTGCTATGATCATTTTCCTAAACTATTGTTTTCAAAACCTTTAATGACTCCACTTTATCACAGGATTAAATCTACCCCCTCAGCCTGCCTTTTGAGGTACTCCACACTGTGATTTCCATTCTGTATTTCATACCATGAAATACAATGGTTTCACAGTATAGACAGACAGACCTTAGGAATTTATAGCATAAACAAATATGGTCCTTGTATCGCTGCTACAGAGCTGGGTAAATATTTCTATTCAGTGCCAGTCAAATCATCCAGGTGAGGACATTTAAATGCCAAGTGTTCCTTTGTCTGCTCTAGGGTGTAGGGGCTGTAATATATTTTTCACTAAAAATAGATAGTGAGGCCTGAATTATGCAAGCCCCAATATACCAAACCTAGAGCTAGCTGCTATTTTATTGCTCCTAATAGAGTAAAATTATTGATTAGAGTTGGTTGATTACTTTGGTTTGCCTCTGTAATACTTATTAAAATAGGACACAATACTTGTCATGCATTTAGGTAGAATATTTGAAAACTTGTCTTAAAAGAAACTTTATATAGTTGAGAAATATTCATTTCACATAACTAATATCTGATTTATAAACACTCTTATTAATTCATAAAAGCAACTATTCAAGGACATTAGTTCCAGTTACTAATTTTTTATAATCAGGCTTTACACTAATGTAGGTAACTTTTATACTGAATTAGGTTAACTTTATGGAGGTCTACCTGAAAACTGAGTCTAGGCAGCAAGAGTTAACCTTTTAGCCTCATCCTGTCTGACATCCCAGGGAGGCAGAAGCTGAAGTGCAGGTGAAGATGGACAAGAAGAGCTGGGAGGTGGGAGACCTGAGCGGCCGCTGTTCTTACCTTCAGCAGCTTCATCAGCCCTTCCAGCTGGACCATCAGTTCCCGCCTGCTCTCCTGCAGCGCTGACATCCTCTGCTCCAGCTCATCTTTCCTCTGCCTGTCCGAGAGGAAAAGCTCATGAGAAATGAAGAGATGGAAGGGCAGTTAGATCACAAAAAGACACTGTAATTTAAAAATATTAAAAATTGTAATGTGTTACTGAACAAATATATAAAAAAAAAGAAAATGAAGATAAAATGATCCTCAAAGAAGAGTCGAAGGCCAGATGAAATGGGTTTTAGACCTGATTCCGCTACTTACCAGTGTATGAGATGCTGAGCAAATCATTTAAGTTCTGATACTGGATATATAAAATGGTGATAATATCTGTTTTGCCCACTTTTCTTTACTGCTGTGAGAATAGTATGTAAAAATGCTTTGGAGGGCTTCCCTGGTGGCACAGTGGTTAAGAATCCGCCTGCCAATGCAGGGCACATGAGTTCGAGCCCTGGTCCGGGAAGGTTCCACATGCCACGGAGCAACTAAGCCCGTGCACCACAACTAATGAGCTTGAGCTCTAGAGCCTGCGAGCCACAACTACTGAGCCTGCGTGCTGCAACTACTGAAGCCTGCGCACCTAGAGCCCGTGCTCTGCAATAAGAGAAGCTACCGCAATGAGAAGCCCGCGCACTGCAACGAAGAGTAGCCCCCCACTCGCCGGAACTAGAGAAAGCCCACGTGCAGCAACGAAGATGCAATGCAGCCAAAAATAAATAAATAAATTTGTTTTTTTTAAAAAATGCTTTGGAAAGTATACATTGCCGTACAGTGAAAAAGTATTGTTAATATTAAAGTGATTTAAAAAATTCTTTAGGAAGCCAAATGCCTCACTTATACATAAAACTAGTCCAAATTTAAATTAATAGTGGAAACAAATGTATGAAAACTGCTCAGGGAAGACAGGGTTCAGGAGTCAGTGCTTCCAGAACCACACATCAGGTTCAAAAAGTATGACAGACATCAGGACGACTCTGTGTCTAAGACAATTCTGAGGACAGATTTCTGTTTCCCTGAGGACAGATTTCATGTCATCAAGTCTAGCTCAATCTGTCCAAAACCAAACTTGAGACTTTCCTCCCTAAATGGTTCTCTTCTCAATTTCCCTTTCTCTCCTACTTTTTCTTCTGTCATGGCTGAAAAACTCAGTCCTCTTTGATACTTTCCTGTTCATTTCCTATATTCAATCAGTCACCCAATTCAGATGATTCTTGGAAATCACATGTCTATCTTTCTATTCCCACAGGTTAAATAAAAGATAGTATGCGCTTCCCTGGTGGCGCAGTGGTTGAGAGTCCGCCTGCCGATGCAGGGGACACGGGTTCGTGCCCCGG